CACCACAGTGTCAGCCTTATCAGGATAGGTCTCCCCAGACCGACCCACTAATTGTGAACATTCTAAACTAACACGAGTCTCATTAAGTGTCTAGTTTAAGRGTATTACMCAGAAABRTACCAAGGGAACATGAATCAAATATGCACTTTTATTCATTTACAATAAACTCATAAAATACATCATTCTGATTGAAGCTAAGGGCATACAAAACTGTCCAATACACTCATTATGTAGTGTTGTGTCAAGTTCCACATTGCATAAGGATGGGAATGGAGGTCTAGCTTTCATCTATAAAAGGATGGGTAAGTCAAGCCAAACCAATTCTAAGAATTAAATGAGGCCCATGCCTTTTTTTGTGCATAGGCCCAAAGCTTAGCCAAGCCAAGTCAAATTTACCTTGGGCTTGTGTCATTTTTTTATGCATGTATTACATTTTATTTAATTTAGAATTAAAATTAAAATTTAAATAATTAAATTTTTATTATTAGATTTTATAGGTCTAAACTCATTATTCATTAGGCCTGGAAAGCCCATAATCATAGCCCGATCCTGTGTAAGGTTGGGCTTGGGCTTGCAAATCAAGCCCGGAGTGCGGGCTAGGCAAGGCCCAAGCCTAGGTTAAAGCACTTATAATTAGTGCTAAACTCGACCCAACCCAGCCCATGATCACCCCTGAAGTTGGGGTGATCATAAAAACCAATAATCAAATATTTGAATCGAAAAATTCCAGTTAATAGGATCTGTTTATTTTTGAAAACCGAAGGTATAGATTCAGTTTCAGTTAACCAATATAAAAAAATCGATGGTTAGTCGAATGCTGAATTGATAGTGATAGATGTATAATTATAGGTATTATATATATATATATATATATATATATATATATATATTATATGTTTTTCATATAGTTTATATTATTTATATAGAGAAATTGTTTTAAACTCACCATAATCATTTCTCTTAGGCCCCATTCGTTTACAAATTTCTCACTTACTTGGGTAAGTGTGCTTGTCCAGGTAAATATTTTCTCAGTAACACTTATTTGGATAAGTTCACTTATCCATGGTTTTTTGATTTCAAGTAAGTAATATGATGACCTTTTACCCATAAAAAGCTTATGTTAAAAAGGGAAAACTTGTCCCATCATATTTTATAAACTTTTCCCCCAGGTGAAAAAGTTATTTACCCACGTAGGAGATGGGTAAATTTTACCTAAATAAATGAAGCTCTCTTTACCGTGAGGCCTAATGCTTAATACAAAAAGAACACTATAAATTTGGTCAATGGAAAAGAGATGCTCATTGGCCAACTTCCCCCCTCTTATTTACTGTTGAACAAATAAGACCTTAAAAGTCATCATAACTTTTCAAAACATTCAAAGAACCCCATGTCAATAAATTGGCGTCAAATGAGTAATGGAGGTTAGTAGATTACTATTTTAGTTTTTGTTATATTCAACCAATTTTAGAATATTTCAAAAATACCCCTATTATTTTTTGACCCAAACACTATATGTTTGAACATTGTCGAAATAGAAAAATGAACACTAATGCTACATCTTCTAACATCGCCTGAGACGAAGTAGATAATCATCCTTGGAGAAGGAATGAATGCTAATATTGCTAGTGGGAGGAAATCAGATTAGCGATTAGTGATTCACCGACCTTTGAAAACCCAAGTATCTCTGTTGCTAGCTACTAAGGCACAGTTTTGCCGCCAATTTGGTGGTTTGCCCACCTCTGAAAACCCTAGCTTTGTTGTTGACTATTGATAAACACATAGCTTCAACGCTGATTTTCTGTTGTCTACTAAAAACCCTATTCTACTATCTATTCCCAACTAAAAACCCTGTTTTCTATTGCTCTTGTGGTGTGAAACCTCCTCTGTCATTAAATGGGAATAACATGTTCGACATAGAAGAAGAGAGAGAGAGAGGCATTGCTTTCAGTGTTCAAGGTAAATGAACATACTAATACCAACACTCTTTTTATTTGTAGGAAAGTTTGAAAATTTAAGCATGTTGAGTGCATAAGGAAAGTTTAATCATTTGTGCTTGATTTCTAGGTTAAAGTTGTAGAAATAGAGGAGAGAGAGAGGAAGAAAAGTTTTGGGATATCCAAAATCAGTGGTTGACGGTGCCAGTCATTGGTATTTATATTAGGGCATCCCAATTAATAATAGAAAGGAGTAAAAATACAAGAATACCCCCTACAACATTAAAGAACATAAATAATAATAATAAAAATAAAGAAAGAAAATAACTAACTAAATTAACTGATTTCAACACTCCCACAAGTTGGGACATAGATGTCAATCATGCATAATTTGTCACATAAATCATTGTACCATAGATGATGTAATCCCTTGGTAAAGAGTAAGCAAGTTGATCTATGGACCTGGCATATGAAATGCACACTTCTTCATTAATAATTTTTTCCTGATAAAATGGTTGTTGACTTCAATATGTTTAGTTCTATCATGAAAAACTTGGTTGGCTACAATGTCGATAACAGTCTTGCT